GTCGTAAGAAATACAATGAAAAATCCTCACTGTAATTTAAGGAGACTTCCATTAAAATGATATCTAATCGTAGAATGTATAAATAATTAAATAACATCGGAGCAAGGCCCAGAATGAAGACCTTGTAGTATATGGCGCTCCGTCCCTAATAATGCATTAATATAATATACTTGGCTACCAAAACAATTAAGTGTTAGAAGGCTATCAAGTCAACAAAGAGTCAGTCATGGCTGGATATGTTTATTAAGAAAACATATCAGACGAAAAGATCAATATTTCCCAAGGATGTGAATGTTATGTATACATACCTTCTTCATAATATGGCTCATTAACGGAACAGTTTATGCATGTGAACAGATTTCATACAACTGTGAGTCTCAAATCATACAATTGCAGCTTTTTTGGTAAAGAAAAAATTCCATGTGTTATTATACAATGATTCAGACACTGAATGTTGTTTTTCCCCCCAATGTTCTGAACACTGTGCTTTTTGCTGATATCTAAATGCTGAAAATAACCCCCCAAAATAGTCTCACAAGTCATGCCCCTCCAAAATTTTTTCAACTCTAAAAATAAAACTGCCTTTCACTTTATTTATACATTTAATCATGATGGTTCATCTTTACGCCAAAACATACAAGAGCATGCAAACAAGCCAAAGGAAACCAAGGGCCAGGGAGAGATGCCAGTCATTCCTATGTTTTGCTGTTGGAATGCTTAACAGTATTCATACGCTAAACATTTTGGCAATGCAAGTAGGAAGAAGACGTAGAAATGAAAACAGCTCCGATTTATCAGGGGAAACCTGACAGCAGTACTCTTAGTGCCATCATCAATTTCACTCCAGGAACGTTATTGTTTCGTATATATCTAATCTTTCCGAAGCAGAATAAAAAAAAAGAAAGAAAGTAAATAAGGGGAAATTATCTGAATGTTTGCACTATTTTTTTTTTGCTCTGAAAAAAAAATAGCAAGTATTAAGTGAAAAACATTTTTGTGAAATTAATTTTTCTTTTTTGAAATAAAGATAAAGAAATTTTACATAGATCTATCTGCCTTGAAATATTCTAAAACTATATATATATATATATAAAAAAATAAATAAATAAATTAAAAAATAAATAAAAAATAAAAAAATAATAATAAATATATTTACTTTTTTGAGAGGATAAACTTCTCAATTTTCATAGCATTAAGATGTAAAAAGCCCCTTTCCTTCTCCATAAAGGCTCTTAAATCACTTAACATTCATGTGCTTCTGAAATATTCTGCATACTCAATTTAACCAACATGTGAGCACAACCCATGCACCAAACATTTAATATATCCTGGTAACAAATCAACCCCTCCCCTTCTAGAATGAACCATAAAAACTCATAATAAATAGTCAGCACCCTTAATTTCTTTTGAAAATTTCAAAAACATGTGACCAGAATAAATAACTATTCTCACCAAAAAAAAAAAAAAAATCCCAAGATCAGTGCCTTTCTACGGAAACAGACAATGTGTTTCACATTAGTAAAAAAGGCTATTAACCTAGAGGTCATAAAATAAAAACTTTACACAAGTATGCGCAACTTCTGTTTTTTTATGTGTAGTTTTTTAACCTCCATACATGCTATAGCTGGTCTTCTCACATCATGCTTTTGCAGCACTGATTTATGAAAATGTCAGAGTGACCTAAAATTGACGAACAGCAGACGTGGGGAGGGGAAAATTAAATTCCATGTTAATGGCCGTGCTTTCTCTTCAAATGGACCTGAAAATTGTTAGTTATCTACAGATTAGATAACTATTTTGTTTTGCCTTTTCGTAATGTCCACTATTTCAATCCAAACTAAATTATCACATATTGCATAGTAGTACAAATGGTGGAACATAACTAGAAGCTACAAAATCTGATGCTGCGAAATTTTCCTATAGAGAGTGGTAAATCAGCACATAAGAAGTCTAACGACATTCCTAAAATATCTTCATAAAGCTTCTGTCACTGAAAACTTGGCATTCCCAGACAATTACACAGAGACAATGATACAAGACTAAAACAAGGCGTACATGGAGAAAATAGCTGGCTGCTGCAGAAATGGCGCAATATTATGTTGGACTGAGCGACACTCTTATTTTCTTTTCTTTGTTACGAATAGCAAAACAAAAAAAGAATGACTCTTATTTGTTCAAAAAATATTATTGATAAGATATAGGGCATTATAGGCTGAGCTCATATGATATGACACGCTTTGAAACCTACTTATAATGATAACAAGGAAAAAGACTTATATGATTTAAAAAGAAGAAATTCTATAGATTAATATTTTCTTCCATACAAGGCAAGAAATATGCAGAGACTGTTTTTTTTTTTTAAAAAAAAAAAAAAGAAAACAAACTCTTTTGTGTTTTTTATAGTCAAAATATATTAAATAGAAAATTGTTAATGCCATATTTTGAGATATAATGCATTAAGTGGAAGTTGGTGCCATAGGAAAGACCTAAACTTATACCAACTCATCTTAGATTTACAAATTCAGGCCCCGATGAAGACAACTTAGGACATTTCTATCCTGAAGCACACACACACACACACACACACACAAAAGAAATAATTTTTCTGAAATTTTTGAATTCGTGCAAATGAAAATTTGAAGAGCTAGTGCATTTTCATCTTTGATGAGAAATAAAGACAATGAGAAATGATGTTGTCTTTGGTTTATTTTTTCAATTCCTCTGGAGTATAGTAAACTTAACTCAGATCACAGAGACATTGAAAATCAATGACAGAAACGAATCAGTAAACGTCAACGAGGCACCTGAAGATGAAACTTTTGTCTCCCTAGTCTCTTAACCTGGTGACATCAGTATGAGACACTATAGTCTTTGATGCATAACATTTTTTTTATTATGACGAAAAGGGGTAAATTATTTATCAGAGAAAACACGTTTTCTTTTTGCTAATACGTTGTGTCGTACGTTGTCGTCGTCTTTTTTTTTTTTTTTTTTGAAAGACAGCCAATATTAAATACTTAACAGGGTTCAGATGATATTGTGATATTTCTTTGCTTTTTTATAAAACTCCCAAAGACTGGTTTTGCATGTTCTTGGTTAATACATGCATGGCAAGGTAGTGTCAAGAACCCATTTAAAAAACACATATAATACTTTCCTAAAGTGTCCAACATAGGAACCAGACAAAAAGCTATTATAAAGAAGTAATTCTTTATGTGTGCATACCATGAAAAAGAAGTTAACACTGCTTACAACTTCTATTTTAAATACCCTACGCACATTGCACATTAGCTATGCAAGGTAAACAGTATTTCAGGGTAAAATTTGACACCACCTACTCAAAGGGTTTTATAAACATGATGCAGAAAAAAGTTGTAAATTTTATGACCTTGGAATTAAAATTTAAATTACCAGAGCAATTTTATTTTAATTGTCAGGGAAATAAGATTTTTTAAATAGTTCATTGTGGCAATAAAAATCAGTTAATTTGGTTCTTCTTTCAGATGCAAAATAAGTTTGAAAAGATTTAAATTCATACATTAATGTGGATTTAATTCAATGCTCATTATAATTTATTAGATACTGCAAACCACAAATTAAGATGCTCAGTTATATCTCAGGTATTTGAATTCCAAGGAAAAATCTTAAAAATAAACTAAAATTTCAAATTCTTCAAAATAATTACGGTTTTTTTAACAAATAATACACCGGCCTGCTCAGTGTTCATTTAAAGCATACTAATATTCCATTCGTGGACATTTACAAGTAAAATATTACTTTAATAATTCTTCTTTAAAAAAAAAAAAAAACCCAAAAAAAAACAAAAACAAAAAAATTGCAATAAATAGAAATCTCTGATGTATGAGTCAGAAACATTCAGAAATTTTAAAAGAATATATATGCATTGAACCAAATCATTAAAAAAAAAAGCCATTAGGAATCATTTAAGAATTGGCACTGTAAATTATTTACAAATCTGGTTGCTAAATTGGTTTTTTAGAATTAATTGACTTCAAAAGATAAACATATGCTTAAAGTTCCATAGGATGACTATCTAGCGTTGCAAAATTAAAAGATCAACACACCATTCCACATGCCTGTCAAATATATAGAGGCCATGCTGCACTAACCTTCTACCAACACACAAAAAATCACGGCCATGAACTCTTAATCAGGATTAGACCCTATTGAATTTTTGCGACAGACGGATATGACTATTGAACATTTAAAACACTCTAGACTTTGGTCTGTGAATAAACAACCACACAGTCAACTCTGAAAGGGCGAGATTTTTTTTTTTTAAATCAACCTACTTACATCCAGTGGACAAATATAAATATAGCAGACTTTCTTTCGTTAATGGCAATCTTTGAGTTATAATCTTGTATGGAGGGAATGCCACTTCACTTTTTGCAGAAGTTTGATAGCACTCAACAGTTATTAAGACAACTTAGGAAAAAAGGAAATGTGATTTTCTTTTAACATGTGTTAACAAGAGTTGCATACAAAAATAGGAATTTTAGTACAAGTCAGAAAACCGAAAATTACTGCAAAATGGAATAAAATCGATCTTATCTTCTCTGAGGTGATCCTAGGGTCAAAATTCAAAGGTTATCAAATATGGCTTGCAGACAATGTGGGTTGATTATGTCATATGACCTTTGACCGAGCACATTGAGTCACTTCGTTCTCCTTTCCTTGTGGCAATTTACAAAATGCAAATTAAATGAAAAAAAAAAAATTCTCACAAGCATGATTATATTATGAAATAGTCAGGGGATTGTCAAACAAAAAGTAGTTCCTGTGTTTAGAACATTCTAGATTTGATGGAATATTAAAATAAGGTTTTGTACGTAACGCTTGCATAAAGAGGAAGCGAAAGCTTAGAGTCACGTACCTTTCAAAAAAATATCTACAGTCCTACAACTTGTATGTTTTAGTTAATTGTTGAATGATGGGTGAATGAGATCATTATGTATAATCATAATGGAAGACATAAATATCTAACTACATTTTTATTTTTCCGTTGGAATGATTTATGCAAAACACTTATAGATAAAAGTGAAATCGTCCATCCTCGGAATTTTCATCTATGACATAAACATACACACTACAATTACCTATACTTTCTACACACAGGTGAGTTGATTACCAAGTTAATGAAAATCCCCCCAAATCAATAATCCTCCAAATGAATGATAACCACATCTGCCTAATGTCCGCTCATTGTTTCTGGGGGGTGGTAAGAGCTAGGAGGGTTATTTTCTACCATTTCAGTGTCTATTGGTTGTTTGTGCTGGAGTCTATATACAGATCGGAGTGTTGTACAACAATATAATGAGATTTGATATGTGTCAACAGGCTTGATTGATGAACACAAAGCTTTAACATGCAGCAAATTAGCATTTGATTAATACATATAAATTCACTAGAGCTGGGCTCATTGACTCCATACAATTATAGCTATATGAGCACGTCTAGACTTTCATCAACCATATCCAGACACAAAATGGACCCCTTTATCATGGCAATAAATCTTAATTGTGTTTTGCAAACAATATAATATTTTTTCTTCCTCTGAATAAACACACAATGTAGACGTTATGCACTGCAGTGGTTCGATTTGGATGATAATGTCAAAAAATTTCCAGTTCGTCTAGCTGTCAACGTAATCAAATTTTCTGTGAAATTAAAAAAAAAGAGAAGTGAATATCTTTCATTTTAAAAAGATGCTTTGTTGCTTCATCTAAATGAGATACATGGTACTTTTTTTTTCAAACTGGGTTTGACCCAAAGTCCATGGTAGTCACAAAGCCATTAATTGTTATGATTAAAGTTCAAAGATCAAATGCTGGTCAACCTACATCTGTTGCCCCCCAAACAAGCCTTCCACATAAAAACAGCTACATCAAAAAAATGCTACATCTGCCGTCCAAGGTCCGGGGTCCCCTGAAAACAAAAGGTAACTGACATCATCAGCGATACAATATACACCCAGAGACCTCATGCAAATGATCTACAGGTGCTCCTCTCTGCGTCTATCGCTTTTACATAATTTACGAGGCAATCCTAATGCAATTCGGTGCAGTATAAATTTTAAATCTCTATGTACATGCTAAACATACAAACAGTCATACAAAGGGAAAGGAGAAAGGGGAGAAAAAAGGTGCAAACTCTTTTGTGTAGCCTAGACAGAAAATCCAAACAAACAATTAATGAAGGAAAAGATGTATCCGTTCGCAAGCTGAACGATGCGACGTAAATGCAGACAGTGGGTGATAAATGTCTTCGGAAAAAGGTCTGCACACGAATCCCGACAAACCTCTTCCTGTCTCGTCTTTGTTTTTTTCCTTATTTGCCTAGCAACCAATCATAGCATAATTTTCATTTGCCAGACTACTGAGGAATTTAATGCAACCTGCAAAAAGCCCCAAATCTAGACTTTAGAGTTTCTAGACAGTGGCATTATGTAACCATTTACAGAAAAGCCCGGGTCGTTAAAATATAGGACTGATTAATGACTTGAAATTGATTAATGATGTCAGGTTTAAAATGGTAGCCATTTATTTATGATTTCCATAAATCTTAACTGGTCATATTACAAAACACAAAACAGTTCAAGTACTTTTTTCTCTATCTTTTGAACTGACTGGAAAGGAAATAAATTAATGGGCACACATTCTGCCTTTGAAGCCTACAAGTGAACTTTTTTTCAAAAAGAAACTTTATTTTTGCCCTAATGAGAAGATAGAATTCCCACTTTATGACAGGTTCTAATAAAATGCCTAAACTGCAGAGAGGAAATTCGCCCAAACATTCTAAATTGGTTACAGTTGAAATTACTTTGGAGTGCCCACTAATGAATATGATTGCATAACAGGATATAGCAGTGACAGGGCCATCTCTCTGAAAAGCCGTAGATTGTGGGCACTAAAAGAAAGCCGGGAAAACTTTTCTTTTCATTTTTTGTATGTGTACGTCAGAAAAATTACTTCCAGAAATGACAGAATGCTTGAAACTTAATTTATATACCAAAATGAGCCTACAGCATTGGTTTATCTTTTTGAACTGCCATTCCTTACTTCATCTATCAACAATCTATATATTTTCTTCCTTATACACCGAAAAATGTTCTTGGCAGCCCAGAATTTGAAAAATCAAGTTTGAGACTAAACTCAAGATTAGGAAGAAAATGTTGTCTGTAAATTCAAAGGATTATATTTCCTTGTTGAAATAGAACAAGGCACCAATGTCTTGAACTTGAAACAATATTAATGACAAGAAATATTTCCTGGCGTTGCATGGGGGGTGAAACAACTGACAATAGATGCTCTTTGTCTTCAAGCATTTACATGTCTGTAATAAATTCAGAAATTTATTTTTCTTTTGTTTTATTAAATATCTGCTGACAAGAGAGTAAAGGAAACAGAAAAATGTTCCACATGAGAGCAAATGCCGAGAAGACCCTGAACAAAGAGTTGTAACAGTTCTTTTGGTGATATATTGTTCAACAACAAAATCTCGGCAAACAGAATTCTCCGACATCTTTCCCTTCTCCATGACAATGTCACATGATCAGCTAAAGCTATTGACATAGACCAACCTAAAATAAACATCTTCTTTTCTTCAAACATAAGACGTCCTGTTTTACCCGTCTCAATGTGCCTAATCAATTGGGATAATTAAATTCGACATAGGATTACAGACAACAAAATGGAGTGTCGTGTCTGGCAGAAACCTCATCTTGAGGGCAAACACATCGTCCAATCAAAACGTCTTCTGTCAAGTTTACCATAACTGGTTTCACAAGTGCTACAACATTGTGTTGTTCACTTTGCACTTTGTAGCACTTCTGTTGACCAAATTATTATATGTATCACCAATAAGTAGAAAAGTAAAACCTTTAATGGACTTGCATCTGAAAAAGTTACAGGTTCTATAGCATCCACATTTATATAGATCTCTGTTCAAATGTTAAGACATCTTGACTGCGCATAAAATTTAAACCATTTTCTTTAATAGATATAATCTTTCCTAGGTTAATTCTGTCAAACTGACATTAATGTCCACCCATTCTCTGGTTTTACGAATTTAGTTTAAATGATCTCCATAGCTACCTTTTCTCATAGTTTTGGGATAATGTCTCATAAATGCAGTCTATTAAGCTAAAAATATTTCAAGTGAGCCCCATACCCATTAAATCTTCCCTATTTTAACACAGACTTTGGATTTTATAATCCCAGTACAAAATAAATCTATATTCAAGGTTTTGTTAAGCGAGTCCTTAATTTCAATGTAAAATTCCCTCTGAATTCAATTTTTTGTGAATCTCTTTGCAATACATGGTCTATTCAGTGCCACCCTATGTAAATAAACCCAAAATGTGACATAGAAAAAATGAAAAACCTAAACTGTATTTACACATAACTGTACATTAAAAGCAGTATTTAGGATGTATTTTATTCACCTTACACTGAAAAGTAAATATCTCCGTGTTGAATTTACAAAAGTGCCAGTAATTAAAATATCCTGATTTCCCGCATACCCGGATATAATGAAAGGGAAAAAAAATACTTAAGTGACAGGTTTTCAGAGTTGATTTGCTGGATTAAATATTTAAAAAATCTTAAATATTAACTTTTTTTGTAAAATGAGAAATTAATAACATTAAAATTTCCTCCTCCTGTCAAGAAATTCTTCCTGTATAGATAAGCATAGATAAACACGCTTCTAATGAGCTGCCTTTATTTCCCTATGTCCAAAAAAGACAGAGAACAAATGATTTTCTTTTCTTTTAAAATCCCAATCCCTAAAAAAAGAAAGTAAAATATATTCAATAGCAAAAACTTCTTCCTTTTAGCAAAGTGAAAATTGTCAAATTCCCAGCATGGATAAAAACAAAATCAGGCAAATACTGTAAACAATATTTCTAGACACCGAATTTTTTTTCCTGATCAGAACCCCAACAGTGGTCTGATCCGTGATTCAATCTTTGTAACCCAGCTAGGTTTACTATTTACATAAGATTCCACACAGCGCTAATAGTAGAATTTTCTGTTTTCATCTGATACTAATAAGTGGAGGAATTTTTTTTCCCTCCAACATAATATTTTGAAGAGCACATTTCTCCTGCCTTCGTTTCCTCCTAATATTCTTATTCACTGATGTAAGTATACTCTTGAGAATGTTTAAAAGCGGACATTTCTGAAATGTACTTGATAATTCTCCAGTAAGCATATTAATTATGAAGGGTTCTAAACAAAATTTAGGAACTAGGAGTAATACATTGGATAAAAAAAAAGTTTTGATCAGCTCAAATAAAATGGTTGTGAAGGGCCCTCTTTGTTCAACATCTAAATGCGTTATTCAATTTTAATTATTTTATGTTTCCTATTAATGTATTCAACCCCACCCCATTATAGTCTCAATTAAGGCTACATTGTAAAAAAAAAAAAAAATCTTAAAGTTATTACTAAAAAAAATTTTTTTTTACATCTCTGTATATGGCATATTGCATCAATTTGTACACTTCACATACAATTTATGTTAATTAATCACTTCATGATGTTTTTAAAAATTATCACCCTCTCACATCGGTATTCTATCATATCAGATAAAATATTCATAATCTCTACAACTCTCTATTTCAAGCCTTTGAAAAACAAGTCCCTTATATACATTACATTAACTTTAAAAAATCAATGATTTTCCTATAATCAACTAATCCTAAGGGGACTATCATTCTTCAGCAGTCTACACACAACTGTTTGATCTGGGTATATCACAGCCGAGCACGTTGAAAACAAAATTTAATGAAGCAGCTCATCTCTAGATCGACAACTGAGAGCTCAGCTCAAATATATCACAGGTGAAATGGCGAGGCCCGGGTCCGAGGCGAATATCCCTCACTCGGATGTCTCAGGTGCTAGGGTGAATCACAAATCGATGGCAAGAGGTTTTAGATTTCAGTCAGATAGCACGACATCACAGCTTTTTTATCCCTCTATTTTTAAAAATTTCTCTTAAAAAGCAGTTATCGGGCAGAAACACAAGAAGTGCAACAATAACAAACAGAGAGAGGGTTTTTCTTTTAAATGAAAGAAGGGGATAATCCTGTTAATCTTTTACACTGATTTTTTAATGGGATTTTCCAGCGAGAGTGAATTATGCTGATTAATTTCCCTAATTTCTGGCAAGGACTTAATTGCGATTGAACAGGAAATTTGATTGCCACCAATTCTGATAAAAAACACCACTAGAAAAAATACATGCTGGTTTGATTTTATTAATTACAGGCAGGTGCTATGTAAATAGCAGTTTTTAACACATCCTAGGAAAACAAAAAAGAAAACATGATTTGTCACCTACTGCACTTCCTTTCAACAAACTTAACAACTGTTCAGGATTCTCGAAATACATCATTAACTGTTACAGATTTGATTAAAGAATGTAGGTGTCAATTGAAAGAATTTGTTTACAATAACAGTGGTTAAAAAAAAAACATTTTTTTTTTCAGACCAAGGGCCAATGACCTAAGAAATATGCTTACCCACGGCACAATGTCAACACATCCTTTGTTGGACTTGACTTTATAAAAAAAAAAACCTCCACCATTCGGACCAAAAAAAAAATTCTTTTTAAAAAAAAGGCTTTTTGCAGAAAACAGGTGAATGGAAAAATTCTAATGAGATGTCTTCACTGACGCATACTAGCACTTTTAGGCAACCGTCGATAATGTTTTCGAAATGTAAAGTTCTGCCATTAAGCAGAGAGCAGAAATTCTAAAGCACCGAAAAGCATGCAGGATCAGATATTACAACACAAGTAAAATGTGTTATTTCTTCTGGTGAATGTTAATGCGCATGTATTTTCTCTCTCTTTTGGTCACGTGCATGTTTTATTGAATGATCTACCTGTGCAAATCTTCCTTAAATGAGGAAATACAAATTGAACTACTTCCCTTAAGCTCCTATTTCGACAAACCCCTATCAAATTCTTTTCTTTCAGTTTTTCCACAAAGATTAAAATCTGTAGTTTGTACACATCTCATACCTTTTCCGTCCCATTTACTACAACACATAAAGCCATCCACTGTATAAAACCAAACACTGAAAATCTAAAAGTACGGACTTGACGACATTTTTCTTTTGTATTTCTTTTTACCCACAAATCAATGGGAGAGAGATAGCAGCTTTCATTTTACAATGCCTTCCCTCCAAACTTGCTTTGTGGTCATTTGCAAGGTAAAACCACTGACCACACAATAAAAACTCAGACCAATGGCTAGCCAATGTCCTCGGCTGACCTTAAATGACCACAGATTCTACTGGTAATCCCGCCAGTCGGCTGTAGATTTAGGTCACATCTCCCACTATACTAACACACTCTCATAACACATTGATTAACAAGGACATACATACCTGTCTTGATCATTGTCTGAAAATCTCTACTGTTAACATCTTGGTACACTGAATATTTTCTAACACACTGTCACTTCACAACACCATGTCTTCCTCTCTAAAAGTGTCTTCAACACACTGAAATTAACCTAGACACAACGTCAAGTGCTATAAATAAACCTGTGCTTCTGATTGGCTCAAAACTTAAACATTTTTTTTTTTTTAAATGAGGCAGATCACACAAACACACAGAGAGGGAGAGAGAGAAAGAGGGATCTATAGACTTCATTTCATTATATAATCAGTGCAGGGCAGAATGTCTGTATCTCCAATTGGCCAGTGAAACTATGTGTGCATCTAAAATAATAAATTGACATGTTCTCACTTCAAGATTACCCTCCAGAAATAGAACCCAGGGAAAGATCCAGACACACAGAAATGTACTGGCTCTGTTCCCTATTAAAATACTTTGGATGCCATCACAGAAAATATCTCTCAATATCTCGCCACTTTAACATCCTTTGAGATAAGTGTTAGCAATCCGAGATCAGTCATCAAAATTAAAGTCAAATGAAAAAAAAGTCTATCCCGGTATATAAATCTTTTCTTATCAATATTGAATTCCTTTCTTTCTATATAATTAAGCATCTGCAGAGATTTTCTATTTTACATACATTTTGACCAGATATAAAATGCTTGCAATGCTATTCTGGAATGTGTGTCATATCTATTTCAGTTGATTAATCTAAGTTTTACACCTTAATCCTTAAATAAAAGAAAACTTGCATCAATGTCAAAAAAGTTTTCTGTGCTCTGGCAAAGAAAATATTTGAATAAAGTCAACAATTAAAACATTTCTTCTTGATCATAAATAAATTAATACTCTGCTCAAAAAATGCACTGTGAATTTGTACCGGTAATTACCCTGACACTGCCATTTTCCATTTTATATATCCCTGACCAATTTAAAATGAAACAATTAATATAAGTACAAGTAAATCTATTCATTTGAAATATTCACCTGGCCCCAGGACCATAAACTGAGAACATGTAGACTTAAGTCAAAATTTTGATTTTTAATATTTTTAGTTTTATTTAACATATTTTCTTAAAAACTTGCAATTTTGTACAACACTTAAATTCAAACATATGATGAAAGTTTTGTTTCATTATCAAATTTATTTCAAAAGTTATATTGATATAAAATTTTGACTTAAGTCTGTTCTTAGTTTATGGTCTTGGGGCCTGAAGTGAGTGAAAATTTAAATTCTTCATAAGTAAATGCTAATTAAAATTACAACATTAAAAATTATGTTGCAGCTACTAGATGATACTTAAACATGTTAAACATAATACTGACTGTATACAATTATTTACATAACATGAAAAAAATATGTGATAATTAAAATTCATTAACTTAACCAGGATGCAAGATTTAATTATAAAGCTACCTGCCTGCATAATCATAAAATTTAAAATAAATAATTTACCTTTTTTCAATTTGAATCATGTTTACATCAGAATTTTTTTTTTCTCTGATTTCTTTTTATAGGCATCTGAAAAATATAAATTTTAAATAACTTCCGTAAAAGCTCCCAAGGTGATATACACAAAATATACATGATGACGATTGGCAATCCAACATCTGTTTAAATTTATTACATTAAATTAGATGCTTAATCATTTCTAAAAATCAATTTAGAATTCAAGAGAACTATATATATAATTCAAAATTAAAAAAGAGCAAAAACATCATGTCTAAATAACAATCATATACATGTATGCTGTTTTTGTGCATCTACTCTTGTTCTGAGAATCTAATGGATGTATCATGCAAAACACATATTATTATAATGATGTTTTTCATTAATTAACTATGCAGTGCTAATTGTAAATAGGGCAAAAAGTACTGTTCATGATATTTAGGTTGACATTAGATTAAATGCAACAAAAACTGAGGCTTTAATTCTCTCTTTCTCTTTATTTAGTTAATTGTTTATTACAACTATTGCTGTAAATGGTCAGATCCTCATAAAAAACTGCTACCACTTATGAGGTAGTTCTAATTGAGATAAGATGGTCATGGGTCACAAAGCTCACCTGATCAATCAGCCTTACTCTCTTAGGGAAAAAACAAATTAGACTCAAAAGAGAAATATATTGAGTTAAGGTTCTGTAAATTTTGTTTTTAATTGTTAAAATCAAGTGACCATACAGGATCAACTCTTTAAAAACCTTTTGAAAAATAAAGAAGAGTGCATTCAGTAGATTGTTACTATACTTATATATATAGGCATTTTATTCCTGTTATAAAACATGCTGCATGAAATGAACTCTGTAAAACTAAGCTAAAAGGCAACTGAATACAATGGACCAATCATCAGGCACTCTGTAGTAGAATACAGTCAAACCTCATTCTTGATGGGACCAAGAAAAAACTTTGACATATCCGATGATTCGAGATATTCAGGGTAAAATACTAAAGTGGTTGGGACTTCCAAATCACTTTGAAATATCCATGGTATTCGAGATATCAGTGTTCGAGATACCGAAGTTCAACTGTAGTAACCTTCACATTAGTTGTAAAACTCAAAGCATTAAAGTTAGGAGAAGATATTTTAAATTTATACATATAACTGTATTCATCTTAAACAATTTTTTTTGTTACTTACATCAACTTTACCCTGATAATTCATTAAAATCTGTTGAAATATCTGAGATCATTTTGGATTACCTTGAAGAGATTCTAATACAGAGACAAGATATGTATACTCTTTCTAGCAGATTATGTTTAACTTCAGAAAATTACAATAACATAGGGGAAGTAACTTTTTCACTTGTGCTTAGACTGACCAGTTCTGTCCCTTGGCTTGCAACACTTTACTTTATCAGTAGATTTGAGACAGATTTATGAGTCTAGCATAAGCTTTCCTGAAGCTATATATGGTCTGAATGGATAGAGAATCTTTGGGTATTGTACAGAAATAAATGTATACAGGTCTGCCTCATATTTTAGAATTTTTACACTATACATGAAGACTCTGTTAGCAATTTAGGTTGCAGATGAAAAGATAAATTCTTTTCCTGAGAAAATATACCACCTAAATGTAATATCAGTTCTTGAAGGTGACTATGTTTTTCCTTTGTGTATTAGAAATGTTTTAATTTTCTTTTGGTCTCTTTCTCTGTCTCTCATCGGGCTTAAAATTCGAACAAATGAATGTGTCATATTTTTATAATTTGCAACAAGTAGTTGATTATACATGTGTCTGCTTCAGCATCAGGCCTATTACTAATTACCCAGAAATGTCCTACGAGCGTCGATCATCAATTGAAAGAGGAAGAAATACAAGTTTATCAAACATGTCCACTTTGTAATCTCAGAACACTTGGTGAATTCATCACACAGGAAAAGGAAGTACTCCATTTCACACCCCTGTCGAAAGTTTTGCTCAAACCCACAACTACCAACAGAATTAGCCTTGTTAATAACAAGGGTATATATTCACTACTGTTAGAAAGTTAATTCACTGGCAGTTAGTTGTGTGTGATAGGGAAGAGTTTTTATCTATATTCTATATTTACTTAAATGACATGGCTGATTAATTTATTACTAATTAATTAATACAATATACATCGCGGTCTTTTCAGTTGCATAAACCTATAATTGCTATATCCAAGAGTCCATAAAAAAAGTTCTTGAGAGAGAGCAATGCCCGTTCTTGGGAATGGTCTTCATATGCAAGCCAAGCAACATTTGAAATGATTGTATTTTTTAAGCAGTGGCCTTCAAGGTCTGTAAACAAAAGTACAAAATTAAAGATGCATATAAATTTCTCTCAGGTTATTTGTCTACGTGAACATTTCGATGTGCAATATGAAAATTAAGCTATAATTTATACAGATAATGAGCACTTGCCTCTGTAACTTATATCTGCAGATTTTTTTCAAGCGATATATAATCACTACCTTTGTATATTCCTAATATGCAATTAAATTATTATAGATAAAGCATCAAGAAATAATTCAACCGATTATTCCTTTTTTTTGGTAACCATGGCAACACTTTTAATATCAAAATTCAAAATTAATGTAAACATATTTTTATACTCTAGCTTTTAACCATTAGTTTTATTGAAATTTGATAAACGAGATGTGTTTGTGAAACACTGATGCCCCCCATATGGCAGCTAATGGCAGAAGTAAAAGTTTCCCAAATGCAAGTCAAATTCCAAGGTCAAGTCAAGAGATCAAAAATGTTGTTACCCAAAGAAAGGTCCTGTACAAGGAATACACATGTGAAGTATGAAAGCCCCAGCAACAACTGTTCAAGAGTTATGGCCAAGGTTAAAATTTTTCAAAACTAGGTTAAACTCCAAGGTCATGCAAGGATAAAAGGTCAAAACTGTTGGTACCCAAAGAAAGGTCTTATCACAAGGAATATACATGTAAATATGAAAGCCCTAGCACCAACCACTGAAAAGTTATGGCCAAGGTTAAAGTTTTCAAAAGTAGGTCACATTCCAAGGTCAAGGTCAAAGAGTCAAAATTGTTGGTAACCAAGGGAAGGTCTTATCACAAGTAATACACAAGTGTAATATGAAGGCCCTCAAACTTCAACCATTCAAAACCTATGGCCAAGGTTAATTTTTTCTAAAAGTGAGTCCAACTCAAGGGTCAAGGTATAAAAAATGTACCAAAGGAAAAGGCTTAACACAGGTAATACAGAGGTGAATTATGAAAGCCCTAGCACCAGCCATTCAAAAGTTATGGCCAAGGTTAAAGTTTGGTAAAATTTTGCAAAAATTGGTCAAACTCCAAGGACAAGATGTCAAATATTTGCTACCCAAAGAAAGGTCTTTTCACAAGGAATACACATATTAAATTTGAAAGCTCAATCTACAACCAATCAAAAGTTTTGGGCAAGGTTAACGTTTTGCAGACAGACAGACAGACTGACGGATGGACAGAGCAAAAACTATATGTTCCAAAATCTTCCATAACAGGGCATAAAAACTGCAGGAGAAGTACCTGAGTATTATAAAAAGAATACAACAGCTCTTTATACATGTAGTACTGGTAATGAAAATTCTATTAATTAAAATATATCTATGTATCTTCCTGCACATGTAAGCTACTTGTGTACCAAATTTTCTGAATTTTCAGGGAGCAGA